TAATTTTAGTTTTTGGTACAAAAATTATCCTTATTCTGTATTGTTTCATTTGAGTTTTATAATTTTTACACCACATTTTGAAACACTTAGTGTACACATTAGTAAAGAAAAGGTAAAAAAAAGCAATCTTAGTATAGGAAATACATTTAATAAATTAAACATCAATCTAAGACAGCAGAACAAGTTGTAACCAAACAGTCTAGAAATAACCAAGTAGCTACTCTTTTGAGTCATATGCTCAGGTTCTGGGACCATTTAATAAGTACATCAGCCCCAAAAATGCCAGAAAAAGTTTCAAGTATAAGCAAATGGAGATTTACTTTGCAGTATATAAAGTGCTAATTTTAATAGATACGCTAAATAGAGAATATAAAAGATCATTAATAGAATAGTCACTCAAATTAAATTAATGTAAGAACAGTTTACAGCATTTTTTTGCTAGCTTGTTAAATCATCACTATTTTTTGAACATCATACAAAACCCAGTGTGTATAATATCAAGAGCATATCATCATAAGAACACAAGAAATATCCTTAGGAACTTATTCAAAAATAACAAGGGACGCCTGGCACGGTGGTGCACGCCTGTAATCCCCGCACTCAGGAGGCTGAGGCAGGAGGATTGTTGTGAGTTTGAGACCAGCCTGGACTACATAGTGAGTTCCAGGTCAGTCTCAACTACATAGTGAGACCCTGTCTCAAAAACAAACAATCAAATTAACAGGGCACTATGGACCTAAAATAGGTCCTTTATAGAAAGTAATCACTGCAGATCATCATAATACTTATATAAACATTCAAGAAAATAAAACGGTTATGTTCACAATACAAATTTCATGCTGTGGTCATCAAGAACATGATTATTGACCATCTAGTTCCAAAAGATCTTCATTAGTGAAAAGAAGAGTTCAATTACTTTCTACTATAATTCATCGAATTTGTTCATGTTAACAGGTGGCCCAGTTCCCAAAGTTGCATAGTATGTATGCTTCCTCATCAAAGTCACTTTCATCAAAAGTTTTATCTTCATTGCTATCAACATTTGTAAGATTAAGATTAATACATGAATAAAGTCCCCATTTCCCACTTAGTAAAAATAAAGGCAAATATGTCTGCCTTCTCAGTAATAATGCCATTTTCCTCCAAAGCTTCCTTGGGTTTCCATGGCTCAGTACCAATGTAACGGGTCTCGGGATCAGACACAATCATATTTTCATTAAATGGTAGAGAAATTCCTGTCACAGCTTTTAAATGCTTCAAAATCACCTTTAGGGGGTGAAGAGAGGGCAGGGGTATAGGGAAAAAGTGAGAACCAAAATCTGTCATGACAAGGTACAAGATACAAATGATGAATATAACTGTACAGTATACCTAAAAAATACCAATAAACTCAATGAGAAAAAAAAATCTTTAATTATAACATTTGAAGATTTTATATTTCCATAAAGCAGTTTCCTTTTTTTTTTTTTTTTGGTGCATATACTTTAACACTCTAGCCATGTTCAAAACAACTTTTAAAATTATAGCTTCTGCAAGAGGACCATGGCTGTCTTTGTATCGCTTTTCTAGTAAATCATTTAGATATTTCCTCCCCATACTCAATAGCAAGTCCCATGCTGCCATCGCCAACTTTAGTTAAGAGCGCAATAACCTACAATGTCTGGAAGATGAAAGCTTTAAAAACTTTTAGTTTAGGCCCAGGTATTTATCTCAGTGGTGCTGCTGCCTGCCTTACAAGTAGAAGGTCCTGATTTCGATCCCTGGTACAAAAAAAATATTTTAGCTTCATCAGTTAGTCTCTTTTGTGGAAATGGAATCAAACTTGGGATCTTGCACTTGCGAGGCAAGCAGCAGCACCACTGAGCCAAATCCCCAGTCCCTAGTCTCTTCTGATATATACTTCGATACTGATCATTACATATAGAATTAGTCTTTTTTCAGTCCAAGGAGGATGAGATAAATCTCTCAGAGATCTTTTCTTTAGGTAAACATTTACCCCAGTCCCACGGCCAATCTTCTGCATA